CTGCGGGTGCAGGAGCTCCTCTGCTTGGATGGTCTCCTCCTCGGAGGGCCGGGAACGTCCCCTCGCCTCCCAGGCATCGACTGGTCCGAGGTCCTCCATTTTCTCCTCGTCCTCCTCACCCTCTCTAGGATAACAACAAACCGCACAACAAGCATAAACTTTCGGAGGTCCGCGCGGATATCTTGGATCTGCGCCGAGCCCTCCTCTCTGGCGTGCGGAGCGCGCCAGGGGCGGCGCCGGAGGCGCCGCCAGGGTGGCCCCGGCGCCGACCCGATCTGTCCGAGCGCAGCTCCAAAAATGTATGTGTCTGCCGTTTTTTCTCCTTCGATCCAACTTCTCCTCATCCTCCTCACCCTCTCGGCTCCCTCCACCCTCTCCTCCCCGACGCCATGATCTTGTTCCTCACCGTCGACCCCCAGAGGTCTCGACCCCTTCCGCGGGACCCGTGCTTCATCCTGAACGGTGCTTCGACGGCCCCGAGGCCCGGTCAGGGCCCCCAGAGGCCGAAAACAGCAATTAAGGCCTTCCGCCCCGATTGCTTCGTGGCGCGGGGGAACCTCTGGGTCTCTGCTCCCGCCCCTTTAGCTCCCTCCGTCCCGCCAGTGCCCACCAGCGGCTGGCGCAGCGCTGCGTGCCCAAAGCCCCGGCGGCCTCCCCAGCCTCCTCCTCCTCCTCCGCCTTTCCCTCCTCCTCCTCCTCCGCCTTTCCCTCCTCCTCCACCTCCTCCTCCTCAACCTCCTCCTCCTCCTCCGCCTCCTCCTCCTCCTCCGCATTCTCCTCCTCCTCCTCCTCCACCTCATCCTCCTCCTCCTCCTACTTCTCCTCCTTTCTCTCGCAGTATCACAGATTGTTCGAAAGCATTCTTTCGGCGGCCGTTCGGGCCGAACACCTCAGCTTTTAAGGCATCAATGCACTCAAGAATGTGGACTGGGCTCACCTTCAGGCGGGCCTGGACGTCAAGGTCCAATGTGACGTAAATGCTCTAGCAGGGATCGGTCTCGAGGAAGCGACTCTGTGGACGATAGAGCCGAACACCACTCTAGCCCAAGCCCTGCTGGGCAATGTGTACCTAGACGGATCGTGCTTCAAAGTAGGCCTAAGTGTTTCCACCGAGCTGGATGGGCTGTTGCAGCCATCGATCGTACCACTCGACCGCGAGTGAGGCCATAGCTGTGTTAGCGGGCCCCGTCGGTGAGGCGCTGCCTCGGAATTCACCCGCAACAGAGTTCTTAGCAGCGTATGCCGCGGTTAGAGTCGGAAGCAATAGCACGGCTTTGATCGCAGACTACGCTGGCACATGCAGGCTGCATGCCTCAAGTTTGTCTCCTAAAAGTGTTTTGTCTGGCCTGAAGCTGCTCATCAAAGGATGCGCAAGCTGGACTCAGGACATCCACCTGGTTAAAGTCAAATCGCATCAAAAGCTCTCGGAATTAGCACCCCACACAGAAGAATGGAGGCATGCTTCGGGAAATGCCGAGGCTGATCGGTGGGCGAAGTGAGCGGCGAATGAGCTGTCGCAACCTTCCCCTGTTGAGCAGGAGCAGTCAGAATCGCGTTTCAAGTTGCTGCAGCGCTGTCAACAACATGCTTGTCGGGTCTTGCCCAAGTGGCCTCCTGCTGCCTCCAAGCCTGGGGGCAAAGCTCTGGCCAAACCTATTCCGTCGAATGCTTCCCCAGTCGGGGTTGCGCCCGTCCCTGGCTCCAAGCCTGTGGCTTCTCCTCCCCGCCTCACCCAGTCGTCTTGTGCATCATTAGACTTAGAGCCTAGAAGGATGGGCTTGCAAGCTGTGCAAGACGAGGGCCCCCCCTGAGGCGAAGAAAGAAGCCAGGCTCACCGAGAAGTACACTGCCAATTCCCCTCTGAAGGCACTCGCTGCTCACAATCACGGTCACAAGTTGGTAGTGGCCAATTCTGAGACAGGCGAGAAGTTCCTCATTGCTTGTCAGACCTGCGGTTTCTTCGTACTTTCTAATCCACGTAATTTGCGCAGTGATTGCCCCAATCGGATTACGGACAAGCAGACGCGTGGATCCGAGCACGCATGGGATCGGATATCGGGGCAGGCACCCCAAGAAGCCTGGGGGTGTCCCTGCGTCCCCACATCCCCTTGGCCCAGCTCCTGGACAGTTTGGCCCAGGAGCTGAAGGAGCAGAAGCGGGAGGGTGGTGGTCAAGGTGGGCGCGGGGAGCGCGCGCGGGAGGCCCGCTGTCGCCGCCCTCGTCTTCCAGGAGCGCCCCGCGCCATCGGCCAAGACGGCAGACTCTTCTTTCAGAATGCGTGCTGGTCCTCCTCCTCCTCCTCCTCCTCCTCCTCCTCCACCTCCACCTCCTCCTCCACCTCCTCCTCCTCCTGCTCCTCCTTATCCCCCTCCTCCCCCTCCTCCTCCTCCTCCTCCTCCTCCTCCTCCTCCTCCTCCTCCTTCTCCTCGGACCTAAGTATCCCTCCCCCTCTCGTTGTCCTCGACCCTCTGCCTCGGCAGCCGAGGGCGCGGGCAGGCTGCTGGGCGAGTGGGGCGGGGCACGGCTGGCGGACATGAGGTCGCGCTCCCGCGTGAGGGCACGCGTGCGGGAAACAGGGGCTCGCAGCGCCCACGGAGGGCTCCCAGACCCCTTCGGGTCGTGACAAAAAGCATGGCGGGCGTTTCTGTTGCCATGTTCGGCCTCTGGGGGCCCTTTGCTGGGCCTCGGGGCCGTCATGAAACTACTCGGGCAGAAAAACTGGAAACTCATGACGTCGGGGGTCTGGGTACCCTCCCCTCCCCCCTCTCCGCTTGTCTCTCCCATCCTTGGCCTATCCCTCCTCTGTCATCATTTCCTCCCTTCTTTCTCGGGGACGCAATGACCCGGGTCAATGCAAACCCGAATCAGTCAGGCTTTGCAGGATCCTGCAACATCCCGCAGGATCTTGCAGGATCCTGTGCGCGCTAGCCCAGGTCAGTGCACCCCTGGCTCTGCAGGATCCTGCAAGATCTGGCGCGCTTCGACGGCATGCGAAAGGTCCGCCTTCCTCCCACCCACCCCTCCCCTGCTCCTCCACCTCCTCCTCCTCCTCCTCCTCCTCCTCCTCCTCCTCCCGGATTCTTCTGCATCCGCCCCTCCTCCTAATCCTCCTCCCTCCCTCCCTCCCTCGCTCCCCTCCTCCTCCTCCTCCTCCTCCTACTCCTCCTCCTCCTCGCTCATCCTCGCTTCATATTCCTCACTCCAAGCTTTGTTGTGCTTCGACTGTGCAGGCATGCTTCTGGCCACCGTGGTCCTTATTGCCCCATATCTCGATGTCCTGCACAAAGCGGATCTCGGGAGAGCGCTTCTCCGCGAGCGTCAGGGGTATGCCCAGCTCGTACCTCTGGGCACGCAGCAACCAAAGGAAGGCGTACAGCTGCAGCCCGTCGGCAACAACAAAACGAACTTCAGTGCGCGGCAAGATCTGGATCGCGTTCGGGCTCCCAGCGATCACTTCGCCTTGCTTCCGACACGAACGAAGAGGGGCGGCATCTTGCCCCACGTCTTCGGGGCCGCCGCCCCGTCCAAGAGCAAATGCAGCTTGCACGCTGCGGCGAAATCTTCGAACATGCACGGGCGCCCCGCGATCCTTTTGCACTAATTGCCTGGCCCCGGGGACGAGATCCTCCTCCCGGCTCCCTCTCTGGCGGTGCTGGGGGCCCGTCGAGCGCCCCAGGAAACCGAAAACGGCGAACCCCGGGGACTGGATCCTCCTCCCGGCTCCCTCTCTGGCGGTCCTGGGGCCCGCCGGGCGCCCCGGGAACCCGACAACGGCGCACGACAGCAGAGGGCCGGCTCCCCTGGCACCTCTGCAGGGATGCCCCGGCACGCGAGGCGCACCCCGCGGGCCCCTCGGAACAAACACCCCTCTCGCCCCGCCCGACCGGCAGCCAACCATGCCAACACTCCGCACAGCGATCTCCGGCAACTACTTGACGCTACTTCTGGTTCGCGCGCGCGGGGCGGCCCGTGGGGGACCCCCGGACGAAGAGGACCTCGGCCGATCCCCGGCCAGGTCCCGGGCGATCCCCAAGGGGGAGGCTATTTTTCGCCACCCCGCACGAGGATAGTGGCCTCCGAGGGGGTGGCTGCAATCGACTACCCCCCCTCCCGCCCCGAGGGGCCCCCAAGAGCCCCCTAAGAGGCCCCAGGGGGGCCCAGGACGCCGCCAAGGAGCCCCAAGACGCTCGCAAGAAGCCCCCAAGAGGCCCCCAAAACGGCCCCAAGAGGCCCCAAATAGCGCCCCAGGGCCGGCGGAATGAGCGAAGCGATTAAATAAAACCCCCTCACCCCACCCGACCGGCAACCAACCATGCCAACACTCCCCACAGCATCCGTGTCAGAAACCGTCCAGAATACACCTTGCGTCCAAACCTGGAGTACGCGCGCAACGAAGGCAAGTGTGCCAGCAAATTGCTTGCTGAGCAAAAGGCCGGTCATCCGTCCCGAAAAACCATACAACATACACGCGGCCTCCACATCTGGAGCATGCGCGGGCGCCCCGTGACCGATGCGCACTGGTTTTTGACAAGGGCGGCGGGGTTGCCAGCAGATCACTTGCCGTGCACAGGCCCGCCGTGCTTGTTAGTTAACAGCACAAAGTGCGTTGTAAGACGACATCTGGATAATGCGCGGGCCCCCCACGATCACCTTGGTTGCTGTCTGTATCCTTTTTGCGCCCTTCTGGGGGGCACTTCTTCTTTTACTCTTTCATGTGCCCCACGTTTTGTTCTTCTTTACGTTCCCACAAGGAGCCGCCCTCCTCACAGAATGCTCGGCATGTGGCTTCAAGGGGATCCACGACCATGACCACCTTTCGGGTCGGGACCCTCGGCATGTGGGGTCTGTACTGATTTCCCATAACTGCCCATCCGACGACGGCAGTTCAATGGCGCAACTGGCACACTCTGCGCGCGCTGCTCGCGTGGCGCAATTGGCGCGGCTGGAACACGTGGCACATTCGGCGCGCGCCCGGCATGCTTGGGCCTGTGGGGTGTCTGGTGCACCGGGAACCGTGGCGCACATGGCATGCGTGACGCTCCTAGGCGACATGATGGGAGTCGGGTGCTACTTATGTGTTGGGAGGGCGGTTGGGAGTGGCGCCCCGCAATCACTTTCAGTTGGTTTTGACAGGGATGGCGGGGGGGGGCGGCAGATCGGTTGCTGTCGCAATGCCAACAACACCAACCATACTCTGCCAAAAACATACGCAATGCATTTCGCTCCAAAATCTGGATCATGCGCGGGCGCCTCGCGCTCACACTGCCATGGTTGTTGAGAGGGGTGCCGCGGGTGCCGGCAGGTTGCCTGCAGCGTGCAGGCCCACCAGCAATTTCACAAGGACAACGCACTACTCCAGCGATAACACCCCGCATGAAAAGTTCCCACACCAATCTGGAAGTCAACCTCACCGTGCGTCTAGTCAGGCGTGCTCTTCCCGCCTCCTCATTGCCCTTTTCCTTCTCGCCCTGGCGGGTGCCCTCTGCCCGCCGCCTGCTCTCCACCTTCCTCCTCGTTCTCCTGCCTCTCTCCCCGGGCCACCTCCTCCCCAGCGCTCTCAGCGAGGGCACGCACAACGATGTGTTCCCTGGCGCCGCTGCCGCCACGGCCGGCGCAGGCGGGCGCGTTCTCCGATGGCCAGATGGCGAAGCCGCTGGGGCGACCTCGTGGGCCAGGCCGCTGGGACAACCTCAGGAGCCGCTGGGGCGCGGGAGCAAGCCGGTGGAACAACCCCACAGTTCTCGAGCTGGTCGCAGCCGCGCTCAGGCGGGAGGCAGCGCGAAGCCCAGCTGTGCCGCGAGCTGTTCCGCTTCAGCCCTGGAACTTCCCGCTCTCTTGTCGAACTCCATGGTTACCTTCCGCAGGGAATCCGGCGGCCTGCGTTTCAGGAACTCTCGCGTGGGCGGCCGCAGGATCAGCATGTTCCGCATGGACTTCCACGCCATTCACTCACACACGAGGCTCCCGTTCGAGACTTCCGCCAGATTCAAGCTTCAAGAGGCCAAAAATGCCGACAGTTCAAAGGTCCCGATGGCCCGCTCGGATTGGTGACATGAGCTGCGCGCCCCACAGGGAAGGGATTCCCACCTGAGACTTCCTGGCAATTCATGCACAAGCGACGTTCCCGCCAGAGAGTTTCTCAATCCTCAAGCCTCCTGATGCCATGAAAACAGCTTCAGGGTCCCGATGACCGCCGGGATTGGCTACATCAAATCAGCTGCGGACCCCATAGGGAGGGGGGGCCCGCCTGAGAATTCCTCGCAAGTCACTCACACACGATGCTCCCGCCAGACTTGCGCCAGATTCAAAACTGAGGAGCCCAAAAATGACGACAGTCTCATGGTTCCGATAACCCGCCGGGAATAGCAACATGACCTGCGAGCCCGATATGGAAGGGACTCCTGCCTGAGACTTCCTTACAATTCACTCACAAACGAGGTTCCCGCTCGAAACTTCCGCCATATTCAAGCTTCAAGAGGCCAGAAATGCTGACAGTGTCAAGTTTCCCATGACCCACCCGGATTAGTAAAATGATCCGTGGGCCCCATAGGGAGGGGGAACCGCTCCACGAAACTCACTCACGATGATGATGTGGGGGTGTTCTTCCTGCGCGGGGGGTGTCCAGAGGAAGCATTGTGTGATGATGATGGTGGTGGTGATGATGGCCCAGTGACCATCATGGGATGATGGTAGCGGTGATGGATGATGGTGGTGCGATGATGGTGACGATGATGGTGATGGTGAGTGTGATGGTGAGTGCGAGAGCATGGTGAGGAGGATAAGGGGTGTGAGGTGAGGTGTGAGGTGTGAGGACTGCGCGGGGGATGTACTGAAGAAGCAAGAACCCCACTTCGGATGTGGGAATCAATTCTTTTTGCCAGGGACGGCGGGGGGGGGGCGACATACTGCCTGCTGTAAGCAGGCCCAACATGCCACACCCGCACACAACAAACCCGCCGTCACTTTGCATTGGGTTTTGATAGGGACGGTGGGAGGGTCGACAGATTGCTCAACGTGGCGTACCTGGCGTGCGTGGCGCAACCGGCATGTGCGGCGCACCTCGCAGGCATCGCGCACTTGGTTGGCGTCTGCATTGGTTCCCGATGGTTGTCGATGGCGGCCTATGCCTATAGTGAGACTCGGGTGCTACTCATGTGTTGGTAGGGCGGGTGTAAGTGAGCGAGACGGTCGTCCTTCGGGTCGGGTAGCTTGACCCCACTCCGTACCCCCTCCCCCTGGATCTGGAGGGGGGACCGCGACGCGTTGGACCGTCCAAGATGGCCCAAGATGACTCCAAGATGGCCTCATATCGCCCGCCAAGATGGCACAAGATAGCCCAAGATGGCTCATGCCTCCAAGTGGCCCCAAGACCGCCCAAAGACAGTTCCAATGGCCACGAAGCCTTCCAAGGAAGAGAGCCCCAAGAGGGGCCCAAGACGGCTCCAAGAGCGACCACGAGCGCCCAAAGAGCACCCCACGAGCACCCCAAGAGAGGCCCAAGAGGGCCCCAAGAGAGCAGCGACGCCTCCAAAATGGCCCCAGGAGGTGCCAACAGGGCCCCACGATGGCCCCGAGATGCCTCGAACAGGCTCTCAGGGCGTGACTGCCTGATGCTACACATCCCCGAGCAGGACAACTCGCCCGGCGATTGTTTCTGCATGGGCTGGCGGGGATACGCGAAAAATGGGGGCGCTTGGGATCCTCCTGGGCCCCACTTCTTTGGGCCGTTTGGGACGTGTTGGGGGCCTCTTGGGATATTGTACTAGGGACTCGTGGGCCGTCTTGGGGCCCTTCTGTTTCGTCTTGGGGCCCAGATATGCGCTCCTCTGGTGCCCCCCTCGGAGGCCTAAGCCATCAGAAGCAGTGCTTATGTTGTTTGCTTTGTTCAACCTGCTCGTCCTTGCTGGTTCCAGTGGGTCTCTCGGCCAGAGAGGCACCCCGAGAGGGCCCCGAGGGAGCACATAGAGAGTCCCAAGCGGGCCCAACAGCGGCCCAAGAGCATAGGTTCCAGACCTTTTCTCTTATTCCGAGGCCGGCAAAAAAAACGCAACCTGGCATCCAGATGACCCAAAATAGCCTCATTGACTGAAAGTACGTTTCAAAAAGTATCTCCTCGAAGACTCCTCAGAAGGCGACACCCCAACGCTGCCCCCCTGGGCCGACACGGAAACAGAAAGGGACTTGCGAGTTCTTGCCTAAGAGGGCTCGTGACACCGTGCCTTCTTGCGAACCATTGTGTTCAGAGTTTTTCAAGCCAACGTTCGTACAGGAAGCCGTGGTGCTCATAGCTTGTTACGTCACGGTTTGCGCTTGGCAGCCTTGGCGTTCAAAGCTCCTTGCGTCACCGCTCGCTCACGCTTAAGCCTTGGAGTTCAGCTCTAGAGCTATATGCTATATGCTTTGGACGTCACTGGGATCTCTTGGGGTCCTTGGAGCTTGTTCCGTCACTGACTCGCCTGAAGAAGGTTTGACGTCTCCAGGAGCTCTTGGGAACAATCGCGTCGACGCTGGGTCAATCACTAGCCCGTCCGGAGACGCGAGCCTTGGCGTCAAGGCTGTGTCCGTCACTGGGCCGTCTTTGGGTCCTCCTGGGGCCTCTCTGGGGCGTTTTGCACCGTCTTGGGGGCCTCTTGGGGGCCTCTGGGGCCCTCTGGCGGCCGTCTTGCGGCCCTCCTGGACGTCGTGGGAGCCTCTGGGGCCGTGTTGGCCTCTTGGGCCGTCTTGGACCTCTTTTGGACGCCCCTTGGGGCCCTCCTGGGTTGTTTTGGCGCCCTCTTAGGCCGTCTTGGCGCCCTCTTGGGCCGTCTTGCGGGTCTTTTGGTGGGGCTCTTGGGCCGTCCTGGGGACCAGGGGCCCAGTTTGACACCCAAAGTCATCCTCGACCGATAAGGGGATGCGAGCATCGAATGCCAGACTTCGATTGATAAAGACCAGCGGCCATGGACATGGGGATAAACAACAATCACTCGTCGGAATTCAGATTCGACATATCCTGTGGGGACAACCCGTGACTCTGAGCATAACTCGGCACGGGCAGGAGGAATCGTTCTGGGGGGCGAATCCAATTCATTCCGCATCCCTACGGTTGAGCTGCCCCGAGCGCATGTTCGTGATGTACTTGTACAACGTCTCCAGCGTGTTGTCCTCCGCGATGGCCAGCTTAAACGACGGCTTCGAGTTCATCCACCAGTCGATGTAGCTATCGAAGACGGTGTGGGTGCAATCGGCAGCGCTCGGCGTCTCGTGCTCCTGCAGAAACTTCGAAACCTTTTCCATCAGCTCCGCAACATTCTGCACGCTCGGATGTTCTATTCTCTGCGCCTCGCGGCAGGCAGCGGAAAGGAGAGTCCCTGCTCCAAGCTGCGCGGAACAAAGAAAGAACCATCGCGCGGGGAGCGACTACAGAACTGTCCTGCGACAGCTGGGACGCCCGACATGGGTACGGAACAAATGGACAAGATACCCGACAACAAATGTCGTCCCAAACCAACAGCGGACGCTGTTGGGCAGGCGGCCGTCTGTCTCAAGCGGACAACGTCCGCGGCGACCACCGACAGCGAGCCCTGCTCCGAAGGAACCAGCACTGCTGTCGGCCTGTTCGTGCCCCTTCTTTGCGTACCCGTTCCGACCTCGATCGCACCGAGGGTCCGTCGCGCGGGGGTAAGTAAATACGGGGCTGTCCTGCGACAGGCGCTGGGGATGGAGGGTTGTGCGGGGGGGGGGTGGACGCCCGAAATGGGCACGGAAAACATAGGTACAATGCCCAACAACAAACGTTGTCCCAAACCAACAGCGGCCGCTGTTGGGCAGGCGGCCTTCTGTCTCAAATGGGCACAGGCCGCGGCGGCGCGGACAGCGAGCCCTGCTCCGAAGGAACCAGCACTGCCGTCGGCCTGCGTGCCCCTTCTCCCCGTACCCATTCCGATCTCGATCGCACCGAGGGTCGGTCGCGCGGGGAGTAATTACGGGGCTGTCCTGTGACAAGCGCTGGGATTAGGTCGGGCGTGTCCCCCTGCAGGCGGATTTGGGGCGAAAAACGAAAACTACCCCCAACATGCCCCAAACTAGTCCTATCATGGTCGAAAAACAGCCCCCCGACCATTTTTGAAAACTGTGTCTGAACATTCCTCCTGTAGAGGGACAGGCCCGACTCCCTCGTCGTCGTCGTCGTCGTCGTCGTCGTCGTCGTCGTCGTCGTCGTTGTCGTCGTCGTCGTCGTCGTCGTCGTCGTCGTCGTCGTCGTCGTCGCGGCCAGGACAGCGGGGATTGGGAGCATCGCCAGGGCAGGGCAAGGTGTCGGGGGCGGTCGCCGTGGCCGCGGGCGTCAGGGCGGTCGTGGTCGTCGTGGGCAGGGCAGGGCGTCGGGGCCCGGGGCGGTCGTGGTTCAGGGGGAGGGGGGGGGGCCGTCGGGGGAGAGCGTCGGGGCTGCTCTGTGCCGTGGTTGGCTTGCGTCTCAAGCGGCGCCTACAGGGGGATTAGGTCGGGCGTGTCCCCCCACATGCCCAAAACTAGTCCAATCACGGTCGAAAAACAGTCCCCGGACTGGTTTTGAGAACTATGTTTGACCATTCCTCCTGTAGAGGGACGGGCCCGACTTCACGCTGGGAGCGGGGGCTCGTGCGCCGGGGGGGGGGGGAGAGCCGGCACGGGCCGTCGGCTGGAGCGGCACGTCCTCCCGCGCGGCGGGCGGCCGCGCCAGGCACCAGGCACCGCAGGGTGGCACACGCTGCGGGGAGCGCGCTCGGAGGGGGCCCGCGGTGCGAAGCGCACCCCCCCGGGGGCGCAGGGGGGAGCACTTGTTTTACCATGCGAACAGGGCGCCCCGAGGCTGAGGGGGAGGAGGGGGAGGAGGAGGAGGAGGAGGAGGAGGAGGAGGAGGAGGAGGTGGAGGAGGAGGAGGAGCAGGAAGGAGGAGGAGGAGGAGGAGGAGGAGGAGGAGGAGGAGGAGGAGAAGGAGGGACGAGGGACGAGGCCTGGCGCACGCCACCGCCCGACCATGCCACGCACACCTCGCAGAAGACGGTGGGCCCCGCGCGACGGAGACGATGCCCATTGCAGAGGTGCACGTCGGTGGAATGCCATTCCGAGACCAGCAGCTCGTCAGCACGATCGTCGCCAGACATGGTCTCTGCGCCTCGACCTCCAGCTTGCAGCACCCAGCCTTCGTCATTTGACCCTCGCTCAACGCGATCGAGAGCATCCATGGCGAAGGCACCTGCAGCAGAGACCTGGACACTGGTGGCACCGCAGAACTGGATCATGGCCTCCGCCCTCAGCTCGTCCACTCTGTTGGCCAGGCACGGGGCACGAAGGTAGAAGTTCCACGCCTCCGTTGAACCCGAAATTGTACGTCTCGCACAGCGCCTGCAGACAAAGGTACCATCGCGCAGCCTGGCAACGACACGGGACGTGACCTGCACAGGCGGCTGCTTGACCTTTTTGGGACGCCGCGGTGCGTCCAACACTTCTGGCCCCCACCTGCCCACCTTCAAAGTGCGCTGCATCGCCCAGCCGATGTACGAGGCAACCTTCTTGGCGAACAGGATCTCCGCCTTGTAGATCTCCTCGTAGACCTCAGGCGGTGCGCGTGAGTCAGCACCGCGCCTGGCAAACCAGTCGGCCCACATATTGCCAATAAAATGTACTGGGCTGAGCTCGCGCTCTATGTAGTCGTCGATGCAGCGGTGGGCAGGGATCCAATGAACATGCGGCCGCCGAGCTTGGGCACGGAGGGCACGCCAGACCGTCGCATGCGCTGCAGCCGCCCCCTCCAGTTCTGGACCCCACGATGCCGCCTCCGATTCCAGCGCCAGCAGATCAGTGAGCACGACCTCCAGCTTGGCACCGAAGTGCCGCACCGCCATGAAGAGCGCGAACCTCTCCGACCTACCGACCGTCTGCAGGGGCCCTGGCAGCGGTCCGTACACCGCACGCAGCGGCCATCCCTGCGCCGACATCTGCACAGCTGTCAATCCGCACCGTCGCATTTCAGGAATAGCCGCCGCTAGCCCAGAGCCGTCGGCGTAGACAACGTCGCCAAACTGCAGCTCGTCAGCGTTCCAGTCGCCCCAGAAGTGCGTCGGCAGGTCCGTGGTAACCTTTGGGGGGGGGGGGGGGGGACGGCGGCGCACAAGGGAGGCAACCCCCCTCCTCGAACTCGTCGAACGAAGTCTGCAACCCCTTGTCATGCATGAAGTCACGGATCTCCACGAACTTGTCGGGCAGCACCTCCCCTGCGACCCCCGTGTCATCCGCTGGGGCCAGCACCTCCTCGCACCCGAAGAACCTGCGCCCACTTGAATCGCTCGGCGCACCACGCGCCAAGCAAGCAGTCGAAACCGCCAGCTGCATGTCACACTCGGCCTGCCTAGTCCAGGGAACACCAGCCCAGTGAGCACGCAAGCTGGATGCCGTCGGGCCTTCAGAGACCGCCGCCGCCTTGGCCCCAATACACTGCCGTCGGGCCCGAACCCACAACTCAGCGTTCTCGCCCAACGGATGCTCGAAACGCGACATGTTGCGCCGCCCTTGCCATCGCTCAATCGACTCGACCAGGTGACATCTAAGATCTCGAAGACTGATGGCCATGAGGTTGAACTTCTCGCCCCTGTCGTTGGCCAGAACAGTTGACGAATGCATATACCAACCAATCCGCCACAAGGTAAGGATAGTCGCCGAGATCGGACCTCTCGCATATGTCCACGTCGCCTTGTCTAGTCTCACCATCTGGGTGGTGATATGCGCCCAGGCATTGTGCAGTTTACCCGGCGACGTCCTCAGCTCTCACAAGATGCCATATAAATCGGATCGAACTCCTTAGCCTTCTGCGTTGCCAGGTACAGCGTGGGGCTAGAAGAGCCAGAACGCGCTCCGACGTGGCGACCAGCTTCAGCACGAACCTGCTGGAGGTGTGTGTCCGGTGGGGCCAGACACGCCCGCGCCGTGTCCAGCACTGGGAAGAAGTCAAGTTTTCCACTGGCCCACGACTTTTTTGCCCGTGACCTTCTGGAGCATCTGCAAGCGGCGGCGCCGAGCAACGATCCCAGCAATACGCTGCGACGTGAGCCGCCTAACCTTGCGCGCTCCACATAGGTCGTGTCCAAGGTTGCGAATCCAGCTCTTGCATTTGAGGCCCTTAGCCCCGCCATACTTCCTGCACTCCAAAGCCACAGCCGTGCTGGAAGGAGAATAACCCGACTTCTCGACCTGGATGATGATGCCCAAGCCTTTGGCACCCTCCCGAAAGCGCGTGACGACCTTCCACAGATGCCCCAGCTGCTGGAGGGACGGCGCAATCCACTGCAGGCTGATGTCGTCGATCAGAGCACGGGGCATGACTGACGAAGACCGAACACCAGCCAGCAGCCTGTGGAGCAGCACCGACACCAAGAAGCACGCATGATAGCAACCAGCCAATATGCCCTGCCACGCGATGACCTGTTCTGATACCGACCCAAACGCACGTAACCGACGCGGTTGCCGATACAACTCCAGCAACATCCACGCCAGTCTGAGATACATATCCACCGCCCTCGACTCGTTGAGCCACGCCATCGGCTTGATCGTCTCGAAGAACTTGAAAGCGTCCATAAGGACAGTGAGGGGCTTCTGCTGGGTGGCCTCCGCGATCTCAGCCTCCAGATTGAGTTGGAAGGCCGGGTCTAAGGATGTGCGCCCCGAGCCCAGCCCCCATATATCAGCACTGGGATGCGCAACAACCCAGCTGCGAGAGACAGGGGCCCTTACTCGAGCCCATATACGGATCATGCTGTCCATGAGCGCGATGAGTCTGCACCCCCCACTAGGCTTCGGATGCCTCACCATCTCGTGCCAAAATCGAGCTTCAGGCCATGCGAGGAGATCCTCGCACCGCTCGAACAAAGCTGCAAGAACATACAAACCTTCATCTGACAACAAGAGAAAAACTCGCACTCCTATCCTGCCAGGACCTGATGCCGTGGACGTCGCAAAAGGAAGAAATAGCCTGCCGCATCATGCTGACCGTGATGGCAGGAAGGGCTGGCCACTGGGCAGCATCCCCTGGCAGCTCTAGCTGTTGCAAATCGTGACAGCGCCATACCTTAGCCCAAGGAACCACTTCACGATCACAGACACGGTGAGGGGACGCAGAATTGTTGCGATCATCCCAACTGGCCAGCACAGATTGCAGCTCCTTGGTCTTGGTGATGCGATGAGCCCTGCTGCCCCCCCGCACAAAACTGCCCTTCGCGAAGCTGACCCAAGCAGCCTGCCTGCCCTCTACCAGCTTGTCGTACCGCATCTTGCAGCGATCGACAATTTTGCTGGCCACCTCCTCAAAATCGCCCCTGCTGAGCACGCGGATGCCACCCCTGAAGAAAGCCTGCTCTTCGCTGGCCAGGTGGGAGAGAACTGTGGTGTGCGAATAGATCTTAGCCATGTAAGCCTTCGCTTCCAGCAAGAAAGCCGCCACCTCACTGAAACTCTGCGGTGCCAACTCACACGTGAGTTCCGCTCCGCGCCCATCTGGCCGCAACCATCGTCGCCTGCGCTTCTCTTCCAAGTCGTACTCTGCGAGCAGGTGGGGCCCACTGGACCGACTTGAGCGTAGCTTCGATATCGCCAGCTCGTCCAGTGTGAAGTCTCCTGCGAGCACCCGCGATGTCACATCTGCCCAACAGCTCCGACTCCACCGTGGTTAGGACCTTATCCCACGCAAGAGTCAAGCCCTGGGAGTCAGCAGCAGCGCGGACAGCAGCGAGCGCAGGGGCTCAATCCTCGACCCCTCGCGCACATCCAATCTGAGGTACCGCGGGAATGGCGAACGGCATGACAGGCACCCGAATCTTGAAGTCGAGGTCATCTGCTGCCAGCTCTAGGTGCACAGGGAGATGTGGAGATGTGGCCCCATCCTCCTGCACCCAAGGTTCCCGCGCCCGAGACGCCAGGCTGGCACGCAGCATGAAGTTGCCGATGATGGGCCCCTTCTCGATCTGCGAAGGTCGACACGTCGTAGCACGAGGCACAGCAAAGAGCGCATCGATGTCGGCAAGGCTAATGTCCTCCAGCTTCTCCATTGACATGTTGAAGCCACCGCGCACGATGTAATCCATCTGCGCAGCCTCCAACTTCGCCAAGCAGCTGGCCAACGTCCACAGAATGCGCCTGCTCTGGTACAGGCACAGAGACACAATGACCAAGCCCCACGGAGTCGACCAGGTACACAGACATAATGACCAAGCCTCCTCTCGCGCCCCAGTGTACGTGGCCAGCTACGAGTCGCCCAGGATAAATGACTTGGTCCTTGGTGAGCGGCGGCTTGGTTATGGTGATCGACGTGCGTGCCAGAATCGCCACTCCCGCCGACGTGCCTACTTGTGACATACCACTGGGTACCGCAGGCGCCCATATGCCAGAAAATCAAAAGTCTGCGACCTCGCCCTGGAAGCTCGCCAACTTGTCTGCATCCTGGATGTGACGCTCCTGCATGGCAATGACCATTGCCTTGGGCGGAATAGCCTCCAGACATGCAGCTGCCGAGCCCCAGGACGTGATATTAGTAGTCATGATGTTCCCTTTCGCCATGAGAGTGCACAAGATAATGATAAGCAGCATCATCCAGGAAGCGGTGGAGTTAGAACGGCTTGTACCCGCCCATCGCCAATTTCCTGGCCCGCTCGCGCAGCTCTTCCTCCGTGGCGTCGGCAAGGATGCCCTCCATGGTCTTCTGCAGCACGGGGAAGTCGACCGCATACCGCATCGGGGTCCCATTTGACCGCAGGAGCAGCTGCCTCGCGCACAGCGTCAGGAGCAGCCCCTTCTCCAGCCCCATGGCGGCGAGGTCTTTTAGAGACGATGAGTTCATTGATTTGGCCCCCGATGCCCTCCGCCAGCCTCTTCTGCGCGTCCGCGTTGAGCTGCGAGCCCTGGGTGAGCTTGGTGACGATCTGCTCAAGCTCCTCCGTCGTGACCCCCAAGCCAGGTAGAGAGGCCCCAGCACCTTCAGCAGGCTCAAGGGCACGCCCCAGCGAGGCCTGCAAGCGGCCCAATTCGCCCTCCAGCTCCAGCTGCTGCTTCTGCAGGCTCTCGACAAGCTCGTCGGCGGCGACCTTCTTGGCATTGGCCTTGGTGACCTGCTCGATCGCCGCCTGCTGCGCCACAATAGCCTTAGCGATCTTCGCCGAGCCCCTCTTGACGCGATTGGCGGGCGTGGACCTGCGCGTGGAGCGGCTTTGTGTCGAGCAGTTTCCTGCGCGTCTCCGCCAGCTTCGCCTCAAGAAAACGCTGCTGCTCCTCTGCCCAGCTGCCCATGCAGCCCTTGGCCGCGAGTAGGTTCGCCTCCAGCGTCTTGACCTCTGAAGCCAGCTTGGCGCCCTCATCGTTGTCGGGTGCCTCCTCGGGCTCGGCCTGCATGGCACCGTCGTCTCGCCCACTCTGCGCCGCAGACTGGGCCTTGCGCAGCTGCGCGAGCTCCGCCTTGACCTCCTGCAGCGCCTTAGCCACCTGCGAGAACTCGGAGCGCGGGACGACATCGGAAGCGCCCCCCGCACTCTTGCCGCCGCCCCCTTTGAGCCCATTCGGCCGTGGCGGACGCGACGATGGCTCGGCAGCGACGACGGCAGGGCCCCCGTAGACAGTGGATTTGTGAAGCCTGCACCCGTGACACTTGAGGTGATTCCCCCACGTGACCAAAGGCAAGCCACTGCGAGGATGGACACAAGCGCGGCAACGCCAATCTTGCCTCTCCTTCGGCTGAGAAGCGCCATTGGCCATGGCGATTGGGCAGCGCACAGCCTACCCTTCGCCCAAAACTGGAACAAAACTGTCGGGCAGAATCGCCCTGGCACTGGCCGCGGACTAGCGGTATCCACGTTTTCCCCTGTGGAACAAAGCATATTGAGCCAAAATGGTTACGGAGAGGAGGAGGAGGAGGAGGAGGAGGAGGAGGAGGAGGAGGAGGAGGGAGGAGGAGGAAGGAGGAGGAAGGAGGAGGAGGAGATGCACCGAATGAACTGGTCCGGCGGCCTCGGCCGGGCCCGCAGCCCCGCCTCCAGAGCGGAGCGCCAGGCTGGGGCCGCGGGGGGACCCGGGGCGGCGGGGGGCACGTTGCGGAGGACGCCCTGCGAGGACGCTCGCGCTCCCGCAAGTCACCCGCCCTGGGGATCTGGGGTGTTGGGCGCGGTGCGGAGGCCTGTCTGGCGCACGCGCTGCCGGGGCGAGACCGTTCGGGCAGGTCTACTCCCATGTTCAGGTTCACCGCCAAGTGCAAGATTGGCGTCACCCAAGGGCTTGCAAGGAACCCATGAACTCCCTCCAGCCCTCCAGGTCATCCTCTTCTCTTTCCCCACCTCCCCTGGAAAGGGAAGGAGGAAGAGGGAGGAGGAGCAGGTGGAGCATCAAACTAAATCTACGATGCACCAGCGATGGTGCGATAAACCCTGCCGTCCCAAGTCCCCTCCCCATGAAGCCCCATAAATGCTTCGCCTTCATCACAAGAAGCGCCCGGTTTACCATGAAGGCCAGGGCCCCGCTTTGAAGGGGAACTGCCCTGCATCCTTCTGGCGAAGTAGAAGGACTTTGAGAGGTTCTGATCATACAGCTTAACGAAGGGCCCAAGCGAGATCTCCACTTGAAACAGACCAATCCCATACCATGGGTGCCTGCTGCAAAGGGTTGCACTTCTCACCGTGCACTCCGAGGGATTCTCACGCGAGAACCCAGTTTGCTTAAAGGAACCACCCTCCATCCGTGCAGCCAACACACATGATCAAGGCGAGAGCCCCATTCCGAGAAGGAACGGCCATCCATACCCGTAACTGCTGCAAGCGTTGAAGACGAGTACAGCATGCGCGGCGCTGAGGCGAGGAGGGGTATGGATCAAGAAGGTGGCGCTCTCCTCCGCGCCACGGCTCGATCTTCCCCCGCCCCCGCTAGGGGCCGCACCGCGCACGGGGGTCCGCATCCGCATCCGTATATGCGTCTGGTCTTTCCTCCTTCTCCCTCCTCCCCCTGAGCCTTTTCCTTACATGTACAGCTGTCCCCCGTCGCATGCCCTAGACGTGTCGGTAAGGTGGGCCGGGCGTTTCGTCTCAGACCTTCTCTCACGATTCATATGTTGTAAGCAGTCGCACGGATGGAGGGGGTGAATGTTGCTCTCGCCTCAGCGCCGCGCACAGTGCGCGCACATTCGTCTTAAACACTTCCAGCTGTCTTAGACACGGAGCACATGCTACTTCCAAGCATGCGGATCTCGCCATAGCGCCGCTCAGGTTGTCTTCAAAGCTTGCAACCGTTGCCAGGATGGAGCGCGGGTGGCCCGCCTGAGCGCCGCGCGCGCTCTCCGTACACGTTTTGAGCCAATTTCAATCGAGGAGGGCGATGCCTTCTCAAATTGGGGCTGTCGCCTTCGCGCCGCACACATTTGTCTCAAACAGCTGCAGCAGTTGCGGCGGTGGAGGGCCGTTCTTTTTTGAAGAGGGAGGCGGCGGCGGATGTCGAAATGGGCGGTGAAGCCATTCTCAATCAGAGATCCGGCAGTGGAAAACCCTGGGAAGAGGCCGAGGGACCACGCACCCTGAGCATTGGACGAGGAGACAGCGAGAACTCGTCTTCTGGCCACAGGATGGCCTCGAAGGACCGGTGCGCCACGCGCTGTCGGCGCTTCCCTTTTGCGCGAGGAAGGGTCCTTACATCATCACATCTTGTACGAGGAAGGGTCCCTCTTGCACGAGGAAGGGTCTTGGAGGAGGGTCCCTCCTTACATCAGGGTCCTTCCCTGCCTCCTGCAGGCGAGAAGGCGCTTCTGGAGCCCAGGCCTCGCGCCAGCGCTTGGCCTTCGCCAAGAGCTCGATGCCCCGCTGGATCTCCGCCATCCCGACACCACCCTCAAGCGCCTGCTGCTGGTGCTGCTCGTCTCATCCTGCTCCTCCCCCTCCTCCTCCTCTCCCTCCGCCGCCTCCGCCTCCTCCTCCTCCTCCTCCTCCTCCTCCTCCTCCTCCTCCCCCTCTTCCTGTTTGTCTTTTGTCGTTGTCACCCTACTCCTCGCCCTGGAGGGCTTTCCTCTACCTCCTGCTGCAGCTGTGGGGACCAGTTCTAACAAAGAGCCTTCCACATTCCTGCTGGTTCAAACACAGAGCCGTCCACCGTCCTCCTCCTCCTTCCCCATTACTTTTTCTATTAACTCATCCCTGTCGCAGCCCGAGGCCGGTCGCAAGGGCGGGCTAGGCGTTTCGCCTGAGACTACCCTCACCGTTTACGAGCATGAAGCTTGAAATTTGCAATGGTTTCACGGATGGAGGGCAAATGTTTTCAAAATGTGGCTCTTGCCCTGCCGCCGCGCACTTCCGCCTTAAAAGTTTGCAACAGTTTTACGGATGGAAGGCGGGCCGTGTTCAAAAAATGTTGCTCTCGTCTCAGCGCCCCGCACATTCGTGCTAAAAGGTTGCGTGAGCTTCACGGAAGGAGGGCGGCCCGTTTTCAGAATGTGGCTCTCGCCTTAGCACCGCGCACGTTTGTTTTGAGTGTTTACAGCAGCTTCACGGATAGAGAGCGGTTCCTTCTCACTATGTGGCTCTCGCCTTAGTGCCGTGCACATGCGTGTTAAGAGTTTACGACAGCTTCAAGGATTTTCGTAGTTAACATCAATAGCGGTGCTTGGCATGATGTCAGGTCGTCAGGGCGCGACAGCTGCGTTGATACGTGGTTTTCAAATCCCAGGAGTGGAGTCCTGGCACGACTCAGGATTGCCCAGACGCAACAGGCACGGTGATCCGCCGCGCTGAAATTCCAGAAATGGTATTCTGGCACATTTCAGGGTGTTCGAACGGTTGTCTTCCAACGGGGCACTCCCCTCAATGAAAATGAACCCGTTGCACGGGCCTATGAGGACGGAACTTGGAGGAAGGGATTATTGCAATATCGTTGGTGGGTCTTCGATTTAGACAAATCCTCCTCCTCCTCCCGACCTCTTCTTCCTCCTCCTCCTCCTCCTCCTCCTCCTCCCAACTTCCTCCCAACCTCTTCCTCTGCCTCCTCCTCCACCATATCAACATCATCACCACCATCATCATCACCCCCAATACCATCATCATCATCATCATCATCATCATCATCATCATCATCATCATCATCATCATCATCATCATCATCATCATCAGCATCAGCATCAGCATCAGCATCAGCATCAGCAGCATCATCATCATCAACATGATCATCATCAACAACAACATCAACAACAACAGCATCATCGTCATCATCATCACCATCACCGTCACCATCACCAACACCATCATCATCAACATCATCATCATCCTCATCATCATCATCATCAGCAGCATCAGCATCAGCATCATCATCATCATCATCATCATCATCAACATCATCACCATCGTCGCAGTCATTCGCATCAGCATCCTCATCCTAACCATCATCTTCATCCTCATCCTCCTCCCCCGTACCTCCTCCTCCATCCCTCCTTCTCCATCCCACTTCCTCCTCCTCCCAACCTCCTCCCAACCTCCTCCAAACTTCCTCCAAACCTCCTCCAAACCTCCTCCTCCAACTGTTCGTCTTCCTCCTGTTGCTGCTGCTGCTCCTCCTCCTCCTCCTCCTCCTCCTCCTCCTCCTCCTGCTCCTCATCCTCCTTCTCCTCCTGCTCGTCCCTTCTCGTCGTCGGCAACCTACTCCTTGCCCTCGAGAGCCTTGCTCGACATCCGGCTGCATCGGTCGGGACCTTTTCAAACAATGTCACTTCCACCCTTCCCTTTCCCCTCCCCCTCCTCTTCCTCCTCGTCCTCCTCCTCATCATCATAAACATCAGCATCAACATCAGCATCAGCATCAGCATCATCATCATCACCACCATCATCATCAGCATCATCAGCATCATCATCATCATCATCATCATCATCGTCATCATCATCATCATCATCAGCATCATCATCATCATCATCATCATCATCATCATCATCGTCATCGTCATCGTCATCATCATCATCAGCATCATCATCATCATCGGCATCAGCATCAGCATCATCATTGTCGCCGTCATTAGCATCAGCATCATCATCAGTATCATCGTCATCAGCCTCATCATCATCATCATCATCATCATCATCATCATCATCATCATCATCATCATCATCATCGTCATCATCATCATCATCATCATCATCATCATCATCATCATCATCATCATCATCATCACAATCACCATCATCATCAGCATCATCAGCATCAGCATCATCATCATCAGCATCATCATCATCAACCTGCTCCGCCTCCTCCTGCTGCTTCCTCCTCCTCCTCCTCCTCCTCCTCCTCCCCCTCCTCCTCCCCCTCCCAACATCTTCCTCCCACCATCCTCGTCCTCGTCCTCCTCCTCATTTTCCTCCGCCTTCGCCTCCTGTTCCTCCTCCTCATCATCATCAATATCATCCTCCTGCTCCTGCTGTACCCGTTGCTCCTCCTCCTCCTCCATTCAATTTTTAGGGCGGGTCGGGCGTTTCGCCTTAGACTGCCTCACCATGTCTGACTCCGCTTTAATCATGGCAACAGTTTCACAGATGGAGGGAGGGCCGTTTTCAAAATGTTGCTCTCGCCTTAGCGCCGCGCACATTCGTTTTATGCATTTGCAAGGTTTTCACGGAGTGAGGGCGGGTGGTTTTGAAAATGTGGCTCTCGCCTTAGCGCCGCGCACATTCGTTTCCTTCTTTCTCTTAAGCAATAAAAGAGTGGCACGGTTCCCATGACCAGCGTACCAGAAATGGCGCGTTGGAAAGATTCAGGATTGTGCGGGTGTAGCAGTTATTTTGATTCGCGGTGTTGAAGTCCCAAGAATGGCTTCCTGGCACGACTCCAGACCGTCAGGACGCAGCAGTCTGGCGTGGGAATCCCGAGAACAAAGGTTTGGCATGCTTCAAGGTCTTCAAAGGGTTGTCTTTCAACGAGGCAGCTCCCTCAATGGAAATGAAGCGTTGTAGGGGCTTATGAAGAGGGAGCTTGGAGGGAGGGTGAATTCCAACATAGTTGATGACTCTTAGGTTTACACTGGTCCTCCTCCTCCTCCTCCTCCTCCTCCTCCTCCTCCTCCCTCGTACCTCCTCCTCCTCATCCTATTCCTCTTCCTCTTCCTCCTCCTCCTCGTCCTCATCCTCCTGCTCCAGCTCTTCCTCCTCCTCACCCGCCTCCTCCCCCTCCTCCTCATCCAACGCATCCTCCTCATCACCACCAATCACTCATATTCCATCCCTCCTCCTTGACATCCACCTCTTCCTCCTCCTCATCCTCTTCCTCCTGCTCATCCTCCTCCTCCGCTTTATTTTCATGTTTTTAGGTTCTATTAGTCTTCTTATGGTGCCTCTTCTTCGTCCTACTTGTTTTCCCACCTATCCTTCTCATCCTCCTCATCATCGTCATCAGCAGCAGCAGAAAGAGCATCAGCAGTACCATCAGCACCATCATCTACACCATCATCACCACCACCACCATCATCGTCAACGCCATTAGCATCGGAAACATCAC